CCCCCCCCAAAAAAAAGCATTAGCTTCTGGCCAAGGCCCCACTCGCACACTCACAAACAATGCTACAAAATATGTAAAGAAACATCAACTTTTAGAATGTTTTAACTTTTATTCTCTATATTCAACTAATTATTACAGCTGCTGAGCATAAAAATGTTATTAACTAACATGTTTTTAACTGTATTATATTCCCACTGGAAAAAAAAAACTTTTCAACAAACTGTTGACCAGAAAAACAAAACAAAAGGAATCTAACCTCTCAAGCGTTTTTATCTGGAAATGACAGATACAGTTTGCCCTAATGGGCAATTTTATTATTATTATTATTACTATTTTTTTGTTGCTTTTTTAAAATCTTTTTCTCTCCAGCTTTCTGGGTCCCTCTAGCGCCGCGGCTCTCACTTTGAAAAACGCTGTCCTAAAACAACTATTGTATTATTTACCAGATCTTCATAGGGCTGTGGTAGCTCGGTGGTCAGTGTTGCAGTCTTGTCGTCCTGTGGCTGCATGTCGCTCGTTGTGGCGACCCCTGCAGAAGTGGAAAGGGGTGAAAACAGCAACCAGTCTTCTTTATGAGTAATATTTTCATTACGTGACCCAAGTTTAACGACAACAGACTCACAAAACTGGCAAATATGAGAGGATTGTTGTATTTTTGGCACAAGCTCAGTGCACAAAGCAACAGTGGGCATGTGCAAAGTGGGCTGCAACTTTATTGTTCCTGCCAAATTCTGTTTGTCTGGTATTTATGGACAAAAAGACATTTTTAAAACCTGAGTTTTTTTATATGTATATTTCCTCTTGGGAATGTGCTCATGTTAAACTAGGGAGGCACAAGTACCACGTTTTCTAAAAGTTTGTTTTGCAAAATAAAACTAGTGTGACATCACCAAAACCACTGGGAAACCGTGCTGTGTTTTCTGTTGCTTGTCCTTTATGTTCCATTTTGCATGCACGCTGAACTCTGTGTTGTTTTTCTTGCGTAGATCGAAGAGCTGCACATGCAGCTGCAGCAGGCGGAGGCCGATCGGGAGCAGCTGAGGCTGGAACTACAGCAGGAGAGAGAAGCTCGGCAGAGCCTGGAGAGCGTGGTGAAAGACCTGCAAACCCAGCTGACCCTGCAGGCCAACTGCCCCCCTCCTGAAAGCTGCAAGAAAACAAACACGGACACACGAAGCCCCATCACAGAGCCCAGCAAAGGATCCTAAAGTTGCACGTTTAAAAGTGGACAGAGACTCACAGAAGAGCATGTTTAAGGACTTTGTTACGCCTCCACTTAGAGGAGGGGAAACAACTCAAAGTCACTTTTGTAGAAAGTTTGTCATATATGATATATTACCACATACAACAATGATACTATAAGAATATGACAAATTTTGTGACATGAACTGGAAAGTAGCATGAGCATGTTAAAGAGAGGGAAACTCTGAAAAGACTTCTTCAGCGATAAACACATCTTTTCCGTGACGTCAGAACCCTCCTAACGCAGTCCGAGAGTTCGGTTTGGGTATAAGCTATTCATAGACGTGCAAACCGAGCTACACGACACTACTTGAATATGAAGGGAAGAAGCGTGTTGGTGAAATGTGAGCAGTTGACGAAAGTCATCTTTGTGCCACAAATTAATGGTACACTCCGAGGTGTCACTGCAGACCACTGGAAACAAGAGACACAAGTTTACCACTATTTACTTTAAATATCTGCTTGCATTTTATAAACTTGTACTTTTTTTAAAAAAAATATTGCTTGCTCTACACTTATTCCACAGGCAAAAAAACATAAATATCCAAACATTCATATTCATTTAGCAGCTTATTTACCTTTTGTATTTCATAAACCTGAAGTATTGGGTGTTTGGTGGACTGACTTTATAGCCACCGGTGTTTAACACATAGAAATGTTGTTATTATTATTATTATTGCTCCCAAACCAAGTAATAAATAGCAGATATATTTTGCCATCATGAATCTACGTAAACTTGCTCCTTGAAAATTAACAGAGCTGTTTTAAGTTGAAAAGTGGTACTTCTGATTCTTTGTAGAAAAAAAAAGTTTATAAATTTGCTGCCTATTAGGAAAATAAGCATTTTTTTGGTCACTGGTTTGAGTGTTCCTAAACCAACAAGTGGCTGTTTGTATGGAAAACATTTTTACAAATATTCAATATATGGATATATATTTTTTTACTTTGGAGAAAAAGAAAAAGGAATTGCACTTTTTAAAGACAGAACCAAGTAGTGTGCATCGTATTCCCCATCACAGTTTTTAGATAAACAATTAAGAGAAAATGAAATCCTCTTCCCTCAGTATCCTCTGTGTAAATACAGTAATAATGTAAATAAGATGTTTCTTGATATAATGTTTGCTTACTCCAGACCTAAAATGATTCTGCGTAGTAGTATTATTATTATCGTTATTACTGTTATCTTTATTATGAATATTATTATTATTTGCTCGTACTTGAAACCAAAAAATAGACTCTATTTGGATTTGCAAAACAATAAATTCATTGTTGCTGATCCCCGAGTATCACTGCAATCACAGGGCACTGACCACGACAGGGAGACTGTTGAAACTGTCGCTGGTTGTGAACTTTGAATTCTGAAAAACCAACAGAATATTATAGTCTAGCCCTCGAGTTCTGTTTTAGATTTATTATAAATTGATGATTTATAGTATATATTTTACACTTCAGACCAAAAAAATGACAATTCTCTGCCCTCCCAGCTCCATTATGAGACAGAATTATATCTTCACACGATTAAAACTTCTTTGGTGCTTTCATATATATTAGACAAAAAAAAAACACTTATGTCTTATGATGATGATGATGACGATGCCCTCGCTCAGTATTTGTTGAGTACAGTGTAATAGCAGTATCCTTTATTTTAGCTGATGCTGTTGTATTTGGTTTGATAGCGGGTTTTCACTTGCCTCTTGTTTTATTCCCCCCCCCCCCCCCCCTTCATAAAATGTGTATAATACCCATTAAATTCTAAATCAGTCCTAATCTGTGTTTCTGGTTTTATTGCAGCATCACAAGGAAAACAGTTTGTTTGTTTTTGGATTAAAGTGGGAAGGTTTCTGAAAAGCAACAAAAGCTTAATAATTCTGTCATTTCTTTGTTAGTGTGAAACGTGAACACAGTAGTTTTTTTTTATGCTTGTACTGATCTTGTTCATTGTAGGTTAAGCATACATACAAATTAAAATGTGTTGCCAGTTTTTCTTGTAGATTAGCAGCCATTTAGGACATGGCCTAAAAACATTTAGTTGTTTGTTTAAGAGTGGCTGTACTTTTTTTTTTTTTAATAGATGTTTTTCCTCTTATCTATAGAGCTTTCTTAATTCAAACTGAAAAATATAAAGTTTCAAGCTTTTAAATTGTAATGAGTTTTTTTTTTTGTAACCTAAACTCACATGCGTACCACTCTCTCCACTCCCTCCTGAGGGTCATGAAGGTGGCGTTATCGTGTTTAGAACCCAGGGTGCAGACAGATTCTGGGAAGCTCGAGGGTAAAATAAAGAATTTTATATTTATTAAATAAATGCAAAAAAGTGGCAGCAAAACTTACAAAACCAAGGAGCACAGCAGAACAGAGCATGATGGCTGTGGGAAGCACATGGACACCGACACTGAACTTAAAGGGAAACTCATGACAAACACCTGCGGATCAGGTGAGAGGCAGAAGCTGGAGCTGACCACATGGGAGGAAAAATACTAGGAAAAGCTGAACATATACAAACAAACCCAAAGAAATAAAAATTACAAGAAGACACAAGGACACTGATAGGTGTGAATTAGAATGAAAATGCAACAAAATCCTGCATTGTATGTTCTGGAAAGTTGAAACTCGAGCCCTTCTCTCTTTGTTGATGGTTGAAGATAGCCTTCACTCCTCTCTCAAACCATTTATTATCTTTGTCCACAATAATAAGACTATATTCAAATAGTATGATTGTCTTTTAGAAGTAGAGACAGCTGAGTCTAATCTTAAATTAGTTTCACTCCAGTTCGTACCTTCATGCGTACGACTAGTGCATCTCTTGTATGGAAAAATGGAAAGACCAAATAAAACCCCCAGGAAGGTGGAAAAGGAGAATGAGGTGCACAAGTTCAACTAAAAAAAAATCAAACCTTTTGGACTTTTGAAGCTTGAAATTACAAACAATTTGAATTGAAACAGTTCATTAGCTTGAAAGACAAAAAAAAGAACAGTTGCCTTTAAGGATACAAACACAAGCAAAAAATAAAGACAGGTGGATAACAAACAAAACTCAAACTATCAGCTGATAAAACCAAAAGGCAACAAAACACAACGAGACGGGAACTTAAGCAGCATCATCAAACATTAGGTTCTGACCAAGAACCTATTTGTTGAAGCTGGACCCAGGAATGCAAACTAACACTGGAGCTCAAAGAAAATAAAACTTGAACGTTTTTAACAAAACAAAAGTCTTACATGGCATCAAAAGCTAACAAAACCTGCTCAAGGAGACCTGAAAACACAACTGGACAGGGCATAAAGCACAACAATGCTAGGCTGAAGAGGAGTGGGAGCAGAGGGGTTGAACAGGCTGGGGACAGTGGGGGAGATGGCTGCAGCTGACGCTAATAGGAATAGAGAGCAGGTGTAACTGGGCGTACTGATCCCTAACAAAATGCAGGTGGCATGAGAGAAGCAAGCAACAGCAACTGCGGAAGACATCCAGCGGCAAACATAGTACAAGTAAATAAAATAAAAACATGAACAAATAACAAAAAAGCTCAAACTCGTGATAATTCACCTGAAATTAAACTATAAACATAGCATAAATATAAAAATAAGCACCGGCTGCGACAAGTAAAGAGACGTGTTTTACATTGTTATATCAACTTTCACTTTCATTGTACACGTCTGAATCATTTGTGAACTTGTATAACTATTGGTCTCCCTTCTCGCTGAATAAAAGACATCAGCAGCTGAATATCTGCTGCTCCGATTTCCCTCGCCCTGACGCTCCATACTTTTTTAAAATGAAAAAACAAAAAGTGTAGTTACGCACAAACGCCGACCAAGTGCCAAAGAAGTTACACTGTTTTAATTTGCGAGGTCTTACATTATCCAGTTGCTGCTCCAAATTTTAAATCATGTCTTTTTATAACTGTTTTTTCCTTCCCACCGTTTTGATTAATCTGAAAGCTGTGAGGATTTACTGTGCACTCTAGAGGGAGACAGATTCCAGTGTTAAGACACTTGCTTGCAACCATGTGTCCAACCTTAAATCATCCTTCATGGGATAGTTTAGTAAATGTAGTTGACCTCTTATAATTTTGTAAGGGTTCTAACTCCCACATCTGTAGTAAAACTAACATTAAACACTCCCTATTCCAGTCTTTCTCCTCAGAGGCTTACTGGCTGCAGCATAGAAAATCCCTTCATGAAAGCAAGGCTGCAGGATTACAGCTTGAGGAAGATTTAGTGACTCTAACAAGTTGCATGCTTCCTCACTGAGAGCCTTCTGTGAGCACAACAAAATGTAAAGAAGAGCCTATTGTTGGATGATTGGACTCAAGAGGACAGAGAATGGACCCTCAGGATGAAAATATGGTTCTGATGTGTGAAGACTTTGATGGCAACAGAAGGGCATGCTAATACTCAGACAAGCGCTGTGAAAAGTTCCCTGAAGAGCCCAGCGGAGTGAGGTGGAAGTTGGGCTCGCGGTGTGTGGATGGGACAGGAGCGCTGGAGCCAAATGAAAAGTTCAGAGAGGAACATCAGCCCTGCAATGGCACCACAGTCTCAGGGGCTGAGTGGCAGTCCACCACTGTCCTCCATGTCACCAAAGAAGACCACCTTTCAGTCGTTGGGATCTATTCCATCAGGGATGTTTTCCCCTTCATTGACTAAACGTCGCCTCAGCGAGGCCAAGCAGGGCTCACACCCCATGAATTCACCCACCCACTCCATTATGAGCTCTCCAAGACTTTGGCAGAAAGCATCCATCTCCAGACTGGCAGAGGAGTTTTTCTGGATTGGTGGCAGTGTGGTTGCACAGCCCAAATGGAGACTGGGTCAGATGGGTAAGACACTAACATCAGAAATACATATCACCTTTTTTTTTTTCTTTTTTGACAGAAGTGCTTAAAATCTGGTGTAAAACAAAGTGGGAATTTTCTTGTAAATCTAAAATACTAATGAAAATGATGAATTTTGAATGAGTGTTTTGAACATTCATTTGTCCTCTGAAGTAGTTCAGTTGTAAAGACAACAGAAGAGAAAAGCAGAGAAGCAGATAACGAGCATATGGACAGTAGACAATCCTGTAGGATTAGCCTGAATGATGTGCCAGGTTGCGTCACATGAACCTGAGCTTCAGATTACAAACAAAGGTTACCTGCACACAGAAACAATAGCTCGACAAAAGTCTGAATACTGTGAGGAAATGTTTCATGCTTTTCTTGTGAAGGCCCTCATAGTTCTAATAGAAATAAATGAATAAATTCAATCTCTTCAATCAATGAATCAATTCAATCAATGAATAAGTCATTTGGATCTGGTGGAGTTTGTTTCAGATAGAAAAGTTGTTTGTAGTCAAAGTTCATGCTCAAAAATCCAGGTTAAAAGAAAAAAACAATAAAGTTCAGTCAGGTCATCTGGATGATTTTTTTTCTGATGAAGTCCTTTGGATGAAGGACGACACATCTTAAAAAAAAAAAGGCCAGATGACCTGACTGAACTTTGTTGGAATTTTTTTTTTTACCTGCTTATTGAGCATGAACTTTGATGTTTTGAACCTCTTTGGCTATGGCTGGAGTTGACGGGGGAGAGGGCGGGGCCCAAAAACCATCTTATCACCAGATAACTGGTTGGTCCCTATGTGATTGTGCTGCTTGTGGGACTGAGTTTGTTTGTGGCTCCTCGGACAGATGAAGTCATTTGGATGAAGGACGAAATGTCTCAACACTAAAAAAAATAAATACATGAAAAATAAACTGTCCAGATGACCTGACTGAACTTTGTTGGGTTGTTTGTAGTGTTTAGAGTTATTTAGGTTATTGCTCATTGTCTCTTAATAATATTAATACATAAACATTTAAGTTAAATTTAAGTTAAATCTATGTTATGCATGTACCTTATAATCTTAAGTGCTCTGATAAGCATCTGTTTGCAAACTCTATCAATTACTTTTTAATTATTATAAAGCATTTCCCAACAAAACTCGTAGCACCATATTACATTAAAAATGTTGGCTTTTCACCTTATTAAACAGTTTTTTTTCTTGAATATTTGATCAAATTAGATCACAAGTGTTTCAACCTTGGCTATATTTCATAATTATGTTTGTTGTGACTATATACTATAGATGTGGTGGTCATGCGGGGTTTCTGATAAGCTGGCCAAATAATGTGTCTTTCTGTGTTACAAAGTGGAGAGGTGTATGTGCACCATGCAGACTGGCACTCAGATGACCAAGCTGAAGGGGAAGAAGAAAGGACTGGTCCGATTTTTTTACCTGGACGAGCATAAGACCTGCATTCGCTGGCGACCTTCCAAGAAGCATGACAAGGCCAAAAGTAAGAGAGACACACTTTGACATGATGTAATACCCAAAGTGTTTATGAACTGTGGTTGAGTTTGTTTTCAGTTTGGCTGACAATGTAAATTTGTGAAGCACTGATAAGAATAGATTGTGATTAAATTTAAATTTTGTGATGAAAATTGCACACACCTTTTGAGGATTTTAGATTTTGTGATTCAAAGAAACTGAGGGATTGTGTGGAAAAAAAACATCTTTCTCCTGATGTAACAACAGAGTCTGATAAAAATCAAATCAGTTCACTAATTTATACACAACTTCTTAATTTCTTTACAAAATAACCTGAATGTCTTTTATCTGTTCTCTCAGTTTCAATTGATTCCATCCACGAAGTCTGTGAGGGGAAAAAGTCAGAGATCTTCAGACGGTACGCAGAAAACCGCTTCAACCCAAACTGCTGCTTTAGTATTTATTATGGAGATCGTGTGAAGTCCCTGGACCTGGTCTCCGATATTGCAGAAGATGCTCATACCTGGATCACTGGGTTGAAGTATCTCATGGCTGGTATCAGTGATGAAGACAGTTTGGCCCGCAGGCAGCGCACCCGTGACCAATATCCTTTATACAACATCGCACATGATTCAAAAGATAAAGAATTAATTAATTAACTTTTTTTAACTTTACCTTAAAGTTGTGACAGAGCCTTAACTGCAGTTGCACATGGTTACAGCAGACTTTCTCCGAGGCTGACAAAAATGGAGATGGAACCTTGAGCATTGGAGAAGTTCACCAGCTTCTCCACAAACTCAATGTGAATTTACCCAAACAGAAAGTCAGAGACATGTTTCAAGTAAGGCCTTATATCTACAACTGTAATCCTGCAAGCTGCCACAGATTTCATGAATATTTTACCTTGCTAATGTGACCAAAGTTCAACCAGCAACAGAACTTAGTAATGCTAACTTTTAGGTTCTTCTTCAGCGTAATGTAGATGTTACACAACAAACAAGCTTCAAGTTCAAGATTTTGCAACAGCATTGCAATGCATTTGCAAAATAAGAACGATTAACCTTGAATCCTTGAATTAAATGCTAACATTTAACATGCTAACATGCTTGTGTTTAGCATGCTAAAATGCTAATTTTGCATTTGCTGCCTATCTATAAGAAACTGTATGCTAATGTTTGTAGTAACAATTAATCCTTAAAGAAAAATATTGGAACACTTCAAAACATTTGTATTTAAAGTTGAAAAGGAATTACACTCAACTTAATGGTTATGCATTTAAGAGAAAAAAGCGGGAAATTACAGAAAACAAGAAGTCAACCACCTGCTTAGGATGTTATCAGCCATTAAATAAATTGAAATTCCTTAGATAGAGAACTTTACTAATTGTCTTTTATGTATGTGAATGTTTCTGTAAAGTTCCCTGAGACAATTTTGTTGTGATTTGGCGCTTTATAAATAAACTGAATTGAATTTAATTAAATGGACGTTATTAGTTGTTATCATCTCCATATGTAGTGGTCAGACTGCCCCTCCTGTACCTCCTAGTGGGTTTAAAGGTACGTTGTTAGTGTTGTTAGCAATGATAATAGGCTCTGTTTTTAGCTTTGTTAGCGCTCATAATAGCTTCACGTGTTTAGGTTTACAGTAAAGGATCTGACGGTTAGGTTTAGGGTCTTGGTTAAGTTTAGGCACAAGGGTAAGGGGATTAAGTTTAGGGTTGGTCCTCTGGGTCACGTGTAGGAAAAGGCTTACATATGCTGGAAAAAACAAAAAAGACACTTCCTGGTTTACCGCCATGCGACACTGCCTATTATCAGCAATAATAACGATAATATCGTACCTTTAAACCTACAAGGAGGTAGGTGGGACAGTTTGACCGCTACATATATGGGGATAACAACTAGTAACGGCCATTTAATGGGCTGATAACATCCGAAGCCGCTCAGTCAACTCTGCAGTGTAAAAAATTATGTGTGAAAGTCAAAATATATTTGAGCACAAAATGTGTGTCAAAAAAAAAATAAAATAAATAAAGACTAAAAATGTCAATTTAAATGACAACAATTAACAAGTGCTAATAGTTATCTCACTGCTAACACTCTCCCTTTGGCCTTAGGAGAAAAGAGCGGGAAATCACAGAAAACAAGAAGTCAACTCTGCAGTGTAAAAAATTATGCATGAAAGTAAAAAAAAATATATATA